CGAAGCAGTAGCATCAACGCCAAAGCGGAATATCCACGGTTCCAAGCTCATGCTCTGCATTTGGTGGGATCAGCTGGGGGTAGTGTATTACGAGTTGCTCCAACCCAACCAAACCATCACAAGAGATCTCTATCGACGACAATTGATGCGTTTGAGCCGAGCATTGAAAGAAAAACGGCCGCAATATGAGCAAAGACACGATAAGGTGATTTTGCTGCATGATAACGCTCGGCCGCATGTCGCGTCACCGGTCAAAACATACCTGGAAACGCTGAAATGGAAAGTCCTACCCCACCCGCCGTACTCTTCAGACATTGCGCCTTCTGATTACTATTTATTTCGATCGATGACTAACGGCCTGGCTGAGCAGCACTTCACTTCGTATAAAGAAATGAAAAAATGGATCGATTCGTGGATAGCCGCAAAAGAAATGTCGTTTTTTCGACGTGGAATTCAAATGCTGCCATAAAGATGGGAAAAAGTAGTCTCCAGCGATGGGCAATACTTTAATTGACTTGTTTTTTTATTTTTTTTAAATAAAGGATTTATTTTCACAAAAAACGGCGAGAACTTATTCACACTCCCAATATTAAATCCGTACAGGCTACCGCTCCGTCGACTCGTTGGATTCGTAGAGTCGACACTTGCGGAGACTTGTCAGATTCGTAAAGTCTACATCCTCGTTACCGCTCCGTCGACTTATTGGATTCGTAAAGTCGACATCCGCGTAGACTTATTAAATTCGTACAGGCTACCTCTCCGTCGACTCGTTGGATTCGTAGAGTCGACACTTGCGGAGACTTGTCAGATTCGTAAAGTCTACATCCTCGTTACCGCTCCGTCGACTTATTGGATTCGTAAAGTCGACATCCGCGTAGACTTATTAAATTCGTACAGGCTACCTCTCCGTCGACTCGTTGGATTCGTAGAGTCGACACTTGCGGAGACTTGTCAGATTCGTAAAGTCTACATCCTCGTTACCGCTCCGTCGACTTATTGGATTCGTAAAGTCGACATCCGCGTAGACTTATTAAATTCGTACAGGCTACCTCTCCGTCGACTCGTTGGATTCGTAGAGTCGACACTCGCGGAGACTTATAGGAGTCATAGAGTCTACCTCCTCATTACCGCTCCGTCGACTTATTGGATACGTAAAGTCGACATTCCTCGATACCGCTCCGACGACGTACCGAATTCGCAAAGCCGACAACCGCGTTAACTTCGGCAACAAACCCTCGAAAATAGTGATTCCCATTTTGAGAAATCACTATGACCTTGAAATAACCTTGAAAATCGAGTTCAATGTCAAGATCAGAGTACAGATAGGTGACCCCTTCGGCCCCCTTTAACATTTGCCTGAACCAATTTTACGTTGGGTTGGGTTGGGTTCCGATATATTCAATTGGAAAATAAAAATTCGCAAACCTGACCTTCATTCGACCTTACCATGACCTTGATTAACATATCATATTGAACGTAAAATTTCCCGCTCTTTTCAAATCCGGGGTCAAAAATAGGTGTTCCCATTTAAAAAAATCACTTTGAC